CTCTCTCCTATTCTCAGTTTTAAATGCCACCTCAATTCTGGAACTGTTCCATGCAAGTTCCTCTCTGGGTGTGTCCCCGGCAGTTACTATTTCTGTTTTGCTTTACCCACTGATAGTTTTCTACATTGTTGTATGTTTTAACCTTTCCTCCCTTTACAGTAAATTTAATGGCGCTTCAGAAGGCAAAGAAATTGATCTGCAGGTTCAGTTTGCCATCTTGAACTGGAAATGTCTCCAGTTCAGCTCTTTTGTAAAGAGTTTAGAATGTGACTCAGTGTATTTCTCCCCTACTCACAAGCATTACCATAATTTGGGGTGAATTCAGTTCCCAAATAGATATCACAATGACACGCTAACCTCTCACTATTTTGCCAACTCTATCCCTAGTCATCTTCACTTCCTCTACCTCTGCCAATCACTCTGTATCCACACCCTAGGCTTTGCCAGCACCTTGAGCTGAGATTTTTAAACTGAAACGTGCTACTTCCTGGTAACAACTTTTATGTTCCACTCTGTCACTAAGCTACTAGAACAGCACATGCTTTCGGCCTTGTAAAGATACTCCAGATTATTAGTCCATCTAATTTCTCCCATTTCACCTACTTGTAGATCCAGCCTCAACTACACATCCCGTCATTGTACCCCTCCTGTCAGAACCCTGAACATGGACCAATCAGATTGCACTATAGAGTAAAACTCTCTGGGTTCATGCCCCATCTCTACCACCCACATGGCTTATAAGCACAGAGACTTTGGAGAAGCGACTTGTACTTTCTGTGCATCCATTCCTCATCTTTAAGATGAGGATAATAATAGCATTATGTTCTGAGGATGACATGAAATAGTATATGTAAAGTGCTTAGAGAGATGTCAGTCTCAATAAAAGTGTTCAAGAAATATTAGCTAGTAATAATATTCTCTAATCTAGAAATGCTTGTGAAGTAGCAGTGTGCTCTATTAAGTTGTATCAGACTAATACAGTGGGCTTATACTTTCAGTTTAAACTATTTAATCAGTCTTCCTATTGATTAACCACTTCTAAAGAGATGTGATATTTTTACTTTTCAACTACACCAAAGAACCCAAAGAAACGGGTTATTTCTCTTTTATTTCTCTTATTTTTTTTCCTAATCCAACTTTGAGAGTTAATTCTCTTCACCTCCAAGAAGAACTTGCCCTAATTACAATAGGGTAATAAACTACTGACATCTAATTAAAACATCTATTAAGGTAGCACGTACCAATTACAAACTGGAAGGCATGTTGCTTCATATTTTCCCTTCTGTAACAATTGTGGCTTTAGAAAATACACTAGACTCAAAAAGGAGTTTAAACTCTTATCATTTCTCATTGATGCTGTGTTATACTCCTGCTTCCAGATCTATAACTATCTGTAACTATGTGATAGTTATTCAAAGATCTCAGTAATCTTCCTAGCTTAGATCTCAAAATCTTTGTTGTGGGTCTTCTGCTGAATTCCTTAATTTAAATAAGGCACTGGAGCAAGTCCCGTTAACCCCTGGTACTCTATAACTATTGTTCTGATTGCCAGAACCCAATTGTAAGAAAACCTACCCGAGTTCATATTTGGGACACCAGCTCTGTAGCATGAAACTGTGGTTGGTGAAGACATATGTAACAGTGGCCTCTAAAGATGTGAGGATTGTGCACACTTTAGTTGTAATGATTCTAGCACCACACTCTCAGGATGTTTCTCAATAGATTGTCAGTGAGGTGTCAATTAAAATTTAAAACAAATCTATTATTTTAGTATCAGCTTCAGAAAGTATCACAAAGAAACAATATAATAAAGTAACAGTGGGTCTTGTTGGAATCTTGGGCAAGTTCCTTAATTTTTCTGGGCTCCATCTCCTAATCAATAAAATGAGTTTGGGGATGAGTTAAGTAAAATAATGCATAAAAGCACCTCGTATATAACAGTGAACAGGAAACTGCTTGTTGAATATAAGGAGGCAAACAGACAGGCATAACCTTTTAAGGAGCAAATTCCTGTTTGAAAGAGTACAAAACCAAAGCTTATATTGGTGCCACTCCTGCTTTCATACCCTTTATTTATCAATTATCCTTAAATAATCTGTCTTAACTTTTGGTTAATAGATGCATCCTCTTTCTTTATCTCCCCATCCACAAATAAAAAGACAACATCCTTATTTATGCTTTTAGCATAGTCTTACTTTCACACTCTAGGAATGTATAGCCGAATGTGTTTTCTGGGAAAACATCTAAATCAAAAGCATTTTTGGCAGACATACAATGGCTATTACTATATAGTTATAGAAAGCTCATGTAAGTTAGTAAACTAAGGATATGTGTTATAGCTAATTGACCCTGTGGGCTTGCCAGAATGTAGCCAAATGCCAAATTAAGCCTTATAAGTTCTATGTCTGGAAAAAGCTCAGTAGAACCTTTACTATCCTAATTCTTGATCACAATTGTTTTACAAGGCCGAAATCACACTTCCCTTTTTTTATCATCTGAGTAGATCCAGAGTTGCTTTCTAAGAAAAGCCCCAATTCTGAAAAAAGTTAGACTTGGGTGAAGAGTTATAAACATGTGCTGTGTGTACTTTCTGACCCGCCTGCAAAATCAACAGCCAAGAGGCACTCTTTCCCACTAAGCCCAACCCAGCTTCACACTCATTCTCTGCACGATCTCCAGGAAAAGAACCAAGCATGGAAGAATTTACTTGCCACCTTGTACTGGAACGTAAGCTCCCTGAAGACACAGACTTCAGTGTATTCATATTTGTTTTCCTGACAAAAATGCTATTTGTTAATAAACTGTGTAAACTAAGAATAGTAGTCACTTCATGCAATATTTTTAAAATATTAGCAGAAGCATTTTAATTTACTCTAAAAGGAAAAGCCAATAAAAATGCTATAACATTAAAAGAATCCAGTTTATGGTGGGAGTCCCTGTTTGGATAAAAGTTAGAACACTTACACGTTGTCTCACAGAGATGGACATGTGTAAGTCTATTATGGACAGAATTTTTTCTAACCCCTGACATCGGGTGGGAAAACTCTTACCACCTTTATTTCTATAGTCAGGCTCATTTCTCTTAAAGCTGTTTAAACCAATAAGAAGTTTCCAGAAGCTGCAGTTTGAAGGACCTAACCTTCCAAGGAAAAGACAAACAAAATGAAATAAACATGTTTCAGCCTCATAGTTTTTCCCCCTCACCAACAGTTTCAAGTTAAATTTGTCCCCCTTAAAGCACCCCCATTTCTCCACAGAGACTGTCAAATAAATCTGTCATGGACGCCCACACTTGGCTTCAATTCTAAGTGGTACTCAGGCTTCAATTCTAAGTGGTACTCAGACCAGTCACATGTCAGTGCATTTTTAATTGCTAAAGCAAATCATATCCATTTTAATTATACCCTAATCATTTCTTACAGTCAGTTTCTCTTCAGAATGTAAAGTCTTGGAAATAACCCATTAAAAAGTACTGGAAGACTCTGGGGCTTTGGCAGGCTGAAACAGAACTTCTGAAAAGATGCTGTGTGAATTTTCCAAAGAAGGTAATCAATCTGAGAGGACGCATATAGGAGTGGTTCATTTGGGAGCTGGCTGGTGGCTTTAACTTGGATTTGAGGACCTCAGAATCTCATGGTGACACCAGCAAATGTATAGCATAACTTGGACATCTCTCTTAATGATTGCTTCTGTTTGTAAAGACCAGGCTCTATCAACTGCAAAGGAGGGGGGCTCATCTAGAAGCCAGTAAGTGCTCAGTGACTCACTTTCCTCACCAGAATTTTCATAAGGCTGGAATTCTGGGAGGGATGTCTGGAGAATGTCTGAGAGGAAGTTCTCAAGCCACTGTCCGGCTGTTTGCTGGAGAAAGCCTCCTGTGGTTGCCAGACCAGTTGACTAAAGCAAACAGCAATGGATTTCAGTGATGTTTCCTCATTAACTTTTATGAACAATTCATGCAAGGTTACCATGGAGTTCGTTTTCATCAGATTGAGAACATTATAAACTTCCAAAGAAGAAAACCATTAGTGGAAAAACTAATGATGCTGTAAGGTAACAACTGTATTTATGTGGAACCACAGAATCTATTCAAGTGAATTGCACTGAACCAGCCAAAATACTCCAAGAAACTATTTATGTGTGTGTGTGTGTGTGTGTGTGTGTGTTTGTGAATTCAGCCTTTTATTGATTTGTAAAGTTGAACAATTGCTTGGGATTATGTGGATTTTGCCAAAATGAAATTGTACATAAAACTTACTTCTCTTTTTCAAAAGCTTTTTTATTTATGTTGAAGGCTTTATAATTACGGAATGTTCTTCTCTCTCAGAAGATATTCTGAGAGGGAAGCAAAAATACCACTTTTGCAAAGCCATTTCCATTCTTCTAAAGGTCTGCTGGTAAATTATTCTTACTGATCTTTCCATCTTTCTGGCCCGTGCATACACACCTAACCCATACTAAATTTCACCAGATGGCATTTTATTTCTTTCAAGTAAAGCAGTCATGGATTTACACAGTTGAATTTTTAAACTGCTGTATTTACTGAAAGTGCATATGGTGCTATATGGACAAAGAAATTGTGCTGGAAGAAATACATTTCTGACTGCAGTACCTCATCATCTCCCAGAGGGGGAAAAGAGTGCAGTTATGTGGTGTATTTCTCGTAAAATCTTACACAGCTTTATTTTTTTTCCTCTGCTAAAACTTCAGATGTGTACTGTACATACATGGAAGTCGTGTGACTTTTAGTTCTTCCCTTGGTCACAAATAGAAAGTTTGTACAAAACCTAATCATCTGCCAAAATGATCCATGAGTGATTTCTAGAAGAAAACGAAACATAAACCTGAACTTGCAAAAAAATTAAAACCTCTGCATGTCAACGTAAGCAGATGTTGGTGTAGAATTTACAAGGATGAGAATGTTATAAAACCTCCCTTGAGCCACTCACAGTTCATTTCGAGGCCAAGAACGCCCCCAAAATCTGTTTCTAATTTTACAGAAATCTTTTGAAATTTGGCCCGGTATTCAAACGTCCGTGGAACGAAAAAAACTTTGTCCTAGCTTCAGCTTCCAGCTCTGAAGACAGACTTGTTCTTTTCAACGGTTTTCACAGATCCGGTGACCCACGCTCTGAAGTTAGACTTAGCTAACTTTCAAAAACATCTGGAAAAATGAAGGTCAGTATATGCAGCTTCAGATACTGCTAAAGAACGAGGACTGACCGAACTGAGCGATCAGAGTTTTCTATTGTTTAGAAGGAAAGGATTTGTACATACGTATGTACTTCCTGGAGTGGGTTGGAATTGGAAAATTTTTCTAAATATACTGTAGAAACATTTGTCCTTGTAGAGCTGGAAGCATTCCAGCAATTATAGCCAGATCAGTGGAAGACAAGCAAAAACTTTGTGGGGAGGAGGAAATAGGATTTAGGTGTAAACAAAATCTTGCCACTTCTACTATTATCAGAAACTGTGTATATGTTGACTTTTCTTTCTTTTATACAGACATGGTTAAAAATTGTGTTCGGAGTTGCCATCTCTGCTGTGCTTGCTCTATTGGTGATGTGCATTGTCTTACGTCCTTCAAGAGGTGAGAGTTTTCTCTAATTTGCTCTGCCTAGAATAGCTTGGAAAATGCACTAATGCATGGCCATGAGTGATTGAACATTTTCCAACTGCTTATTTTCCAAAGTAAGTCTGTTATTTCCAAGAAGATATGTAAGCTCACAGATAAATTGTTGAGCAACCGGAAGTCCTAAAGAATTTAAGGCATGGATAAAAAGAGATTTCCAATATTATTTCAGCAATAGAAAAACCTAAGCACTATTTTATATCAGCTCCACCCCCCCCCACCAAATATATGCTAAATTACAAGCTTTGACAGGCCTTTAGAGACAATATTTTTAATTAATATTACTTTCCACTTTTGGATTGCCTCATGGAGTAAAATAGTAAAATGAGTAAGAATGGAGAAGTTAACCTAGAACTTACAGTTTTTTATTATGAGACTTCCCAAAAATTTAGAAAGGCAGATGAGAATAGAAATCTTGGAAACAGCTGTATACAAAAAGTGAAATTGTTGTTCTAGATGCAGTAGCAATGAGCAACCAAATCAGAAGACTAGATAGTATTAAGCAGGCATTATATTTAATGATAAATCAATCCTTTAAAAAAGATTAATATTGATCTCACTTTGCTGAAAGTTGGAAGATACTATATTGTTTGAAGACTAATACTGGGGATAGTTTGAATTTAAATGAAGCACTACCTATAAATAACCCAGTGGTTTTAGGGGAATAAGTTTCATGAAACAATTTATGAAAAGAAGCTCAAGTTCTAAAACAGGAAAAAAAAGACCTCATTAATACCAGGTCTTGTGCCTTGGGGTCTAGGGAAACAGGAGAAGTTTGTACCAATAAATATTTAAAGTTTTTGATAGCTAAGGTGGGAAATTTCTTTGGTTAAAAGTTCACAGACAGTAAAGGAATATCAATGATAAACTTTCAGCTAAAGAATGTTGAGTTCTGAATAATCTGTTGTTTTAAAAAATGAAATATAGAAAAATATTTTGAAAAACCCAAAATGCTCATGGGATTTTTACAGAATTATAAAATGAAGACGTTAAGCAATAAGGTGAAAGTAGTGTTCTTATAACTTTGGTGTTAATCTTCAGTCCTTATTCCTGCCCTCTGCTACCACACAATTATTCTTAGGCTAAAATGTATAGTGCATTCATATTCTTCATATTTTTTCAGGTTAAAGTTGTTTTCAGACCAGTGTTTCACCTCAGTGGTTTGGGGGCCATATTTCCCTCTTATCAGCAATTGTCAGGTGACAGATTAGGTCCTACTGACCTGTGGAATGCTAATCTGTTCAAATTTAACTCCTTATTTTTGAAAGTAACTCACCAGTACTTGAAATTGATACTTTGCTCAGAAATGTTGAGAACAAAAGTGTGTGGATTTTACCGACAACTTACCTCCATGTCCACAGGAAAGGATGGCTTGCATTTGCACTTCGGAATTTCAGGCATAATTTGTAGTAGAAATATACTATAGTTATACATTTTCAAATGACATATGAGTATGCCCACAAATAGACATTGGGGTAACTATGTATAACCTTAACCCTTACACTCCCAAATTTAGATATGCCTATTATATATACAAATATCTATTATAAACTACATATATATTATAAAAGTCCTATAACTTAGTTTTACGATTCAACCAACAGATTAATTCTCAGAACAAAATTATTTCCTAATAGAGTGAAATAAGGAAATTAAACTTTGGATGAAATTTGATTACTCACTCAGAAACAGAGATATCATGAAAACACTAAAAACTGTATTTTTTTATCCATAATATCATTCTTTCCATTCTAAATTGGCTGAAGAACTTCTCAGAAGGTCCCTTAACTCACACATGGGACTATTCATCCGCTGACTTTCCTGAGCAGGACCGGGTGGAGGCCCCCCTCCGCCCCAACTCAGGGGACAGGCAGCCCTGGCGTTGAGCTCTCCCCGACCCCCCTCCTTCCTCTTCACACCCCGCTCCTCCCCCATCCCCAGTCTCCGGCTTCCTGTCCACCTCTCACTCGTATGCGTGCCCAGGGCCTGGGGAGGATGGGGTCTAAGGCGGCATGAATGGAAGGAGGAAGGCGCAAGGCGATGGAGGAATGGAAAATTCAAAAAGCCAAGTAAGCTTCTAGCCAGGCTGCGCACGCCTCCTCAGAAATCCCATCACCTCACATTTGCCTTAGGCGCCCTCGTGTTCCTAGCCCAGGATTTATGCCCCAGCGTAACGACAGCCTCCCTTTGAGAGGCTTACCGCCCACTTAAGGAACGTTCGTTCACTTACTTATACATGAATGAGCCAAGTCCCACCCCCTGCCCATCGCTGCGCCAGGTGTTGAGCACACAGCGGGGCAGCGGGCCAGACTGCCCTCGGATTCTGTCCTTCCCCACAAGGTCTCCGTGGAGGAGGCAAAGAGAGGAGCGCTTCCACTGGGGGAGCAGGAACCCCAGCTCGGGATTAAAAGGGCTCTGGGGCAATCAGGCAGGATTTTAGGAACGAATGAGAAAATGTCGTGAAATGAGAAAGATTCATTGAGATCACTCACATAATAATAAAAAAAGGGACATCTTTTTTTGAAACTTTCGAATGTTCTGATTTATATTTTCACCAAATGGGGAGCATATATGCTTTTCTACCCCATAGTACCAGGCTAGCTTCTTGACCTTGGCCTACTCCCCTATCCCCTCCCATTCTCTGCCCTCTCATCACTTGTTCTCGTCTTCCTAAGCATCACCCCTTTTCCTGTGTGAAGATGCACCCAGGCTTAGAGTGGCAAACGAATTCCATGCCTTCCCCCCACTTTCGCCAGCCCCAAGGACAAACACACCAGACCTTCTTGTTTCAAGAGATATACAAGGCTGATAATAACAGAACTAAACAAAAAAATCCTAGCATTGGAAAGTGATAGCAGCTCCAGAACTTCAAAAGTACATTCTATACGGCCTTGCTTCATGATTTATAGTTTCTGAGTTCCTGGACCCAAATTTGTGAAGTCCATTTGTGAAAGGAAACATAGGCATTACCTGCCCTCTCCTTGAATTCTGCAGAGTGCCTAGTAAGGAATAAACACTCAAATATCAGCTATTATTTTTAGACAATTTCTAACAGGTAGTAGCGACTTAATAAACAATAGCTAGAATTTCATTGTTCTTCCTCTCAATATACTATACATGCAAAGATGGCCACAGGGCCCTTCTGTGTGATGTTTTCCAATCTCAACAATGTTCTTAATTCTGAGAGTAGGGGATCTTTATCTCCGGTATCACCCCGTGTGCCTATCCCCCACCTCCTTGGATCGAAAGCGACAAATATTTTTCAGAAACTTTTGCAGGCAAGGCACTCCTACAGGATGTTGGCAGCTCTGGGGCAAAAGCAAAGGACAAGAAGAGGAGAGGAAAGACGAAGGAAGAGGAAGGTGGGAGGCAGGGAATGGAGAGGAAAGCAAGTTACAGAAAACGCAGAGGGGTGGTGTGCGGTGTGGAGAAATGACAAGTCCCCCTGGACAGTGCCTCCAGCGACTCTCCAGGCACCAAGACTGTGGCTCACCTCGGCTCAGGCCTGCCTGCGGGCCTTTCGTCTACCTTTAATCACTTTCCTTTTTATTGTGGCTGCTTTGGGCCTGCCATATAAGTTGCCAATTTAAAACAATCAGACAACATCATATAGAAATTTAGATTTTTGGCTTCTCTTTAAACACTGAATCTGACAACATTGGGCCCATGGTAATAGGTAGCTGAGGAGCAGCCACTGTCCTTAGGTGGACAACACATTCCCCAATTTGCCACAGATTCTACAGCTTTCTATTTTAATATATGTAAGATACCATATTCTTTACAATATCTACCTGCTATAAACATTTGGATCTTTAACGCTTGAGCTGAAGAAAGTATAGGATTCCTACTAAGATCAAAAATAACAATCTATTGAATATGAAAAACCTGAGGTTAGCATCCCATGGTCATCCGTCATCCATGCTGTCCAGTCTGCTGCAGCTCCTGGTCACTTTGGCTATCTATCCAACAATTATTTACTTAAACACCTTCAAAATACCAGGTCTGGTCTAAGGCATGAATAGCAAGGTCCCTGCATTTAGGAAAAAACAGTTTGATAATAAACAAGAAAGTAAATAAATTCATAGCATATGGAGCTATATATAGGCAACAACTGGAGTGGGGAGTATGTTAGACATCTAGGGCCGCCCTGACAAAATGCCACAGACTAGGTGGCTTAAACAACAGAAGTCGATTTTCTCACAGTTCTGGATGTTAGATGTCCATGGTCAAGGTGTAGACAGGTCTGGTTTCTCTGGAGGCTCTCCCCCTGGTCTTACAGATGGCTGCCTCCTTGCTGTGCCCTTATATGGCCTTTCTCTGTGCAAACACACTCCTGGTGTCTCTCCCTCTTCTTATAAGGGCTCCAGTTATATTAGATTAGGGCTCTACCATTATGATCTTCTGTAACCTTATCTACCTCCGTAAGGTAGTGACCTTAATTAACTCCCCTATGTCCAGATACAATCACACTGAGGGTTAGAGCTTCAATCTATGAGTTTTGGAGGGACACAAGCCAGTCTATAACCAAGGTGGTCAGTGAAAGCTTCTCTGAAATGATATTTGGCCTGAAATCTTAAGGACAGGAAGGACACAACTGGGGGATGGGGGATGCCCTCATACAGAGGGAAAAGCAGGTACCAAAGGCCCCGACCCAGGAAAATGTTTAGGAAGTTCAAGGAGCTGAAAGGACACTGAGAGCTGTGAGGCCAGTATTATGTAAGGAAAATAACACAGGAAAATATGGACATTTATATCTGTTTATGATTTTACACACACATATATAAAACTTAAAAATGATTGTTTACTTAGCTAAACAATGCCTTATATAACTTATTTCAGAAGATGTCTCAATCACAAACAAATTAAATAAAACAGAAATCAACATTTTGTGAGAAGAGATATCATTTAGAATGTTTGCATTTTAGGTAGAAATCTACTATTGTTATCACTATTATTAT